TAGAGGTGAACAATATTCTTTTTGAAAATGTGGGACTACATCGATACTGACTACATGTAAAATTTATAGTCAGTCGAAACAGGGTGTCCTTTTTTTAGATGACACGGCTGAATTTCTCTTCAACCAACGACGCTATAAAAAAATACGTTTTAATATTCTTTTCTCTAGTTTCAAATGTTTATCTATTTTTGGATAAAAACTATACAGGGTGCCTCAGGCCGAGTTCAACTTCAAAATTTCAAATAATAACAACGAACAACAACAAATAAATAACATGCAAGGGATAAGTCAATGCTGGCAAAAAAATTACCTTTGTTTCAGATTGAATGATCATAAATAATAAAAGAAGAATTAGTAAAGGAACAAAACTACTGAATTATTCTATTGGATGTTAGTTTAACCCTTGCAAAACCAAATTTTATTGTTTGTAGATTCTGTCATAAATTTATATACATTTATATTTTATTAAACACACTTTTTATTTTCATTCGGTTTGTTCAGTTGTTTCATTCAATATGAAAAATATGTTCGGAGACGCTGGAGAAAATAGATTATAGATCGAGCTTGAATTTTCCTTTACCGAACAATTTACTCTTTAAAACCGTAGTAGAAAGTTGATAGAAATGGATATAATCATCAGATCACTTGAGTCTTAATGTTAAAAAACCCTTAAACCTTTTAGAGGAATTTTTATTTTCGGTAATAGGCATTAGTTTATTATAAAAAGGAATCCTTTGCTGTATTCCAAGTGTCCTTTGTAGATGATCCGGCTGAAGTTCTCTTCAATTAATGGGGCTATAAAAAAATACGTTTTTAATGATTATTTGGAGATGTGAGGTGCGGTCTGGTGTGACGTAGGTTGTGGAAAAACATTTTTTTTAGCATTCAACGTTTCGACCTTTATTGAGATCATCTTCAGGGCTCAAAGTGTATGTCTTCCGTGTAGATGTGTCATTGTTGTCTTAAGAGTGGGCACAAGAATGAAACATCTACACGGATAACAAACACTTTGAGCCCTGAAGATGATCTCAATAAAGATCGAAACGTTAGCACGATAAAGAAAATAACTAAACACCACACATTTCTACGTTTTCAATATTTTTTAATATATTTGCCATGTTTTTTTTAAGTAAAAATTATACAGGGAACCTCAGGCCCAGTTCAACTTAAACAATTCAAATACGATCCCATACATCCTAACATATCATTTTAAAAGACTTTCTACGCTGAAAAAAAATAGTGCAATCGGATTTTAAATTGGACAAAAAATGTCAAAGTAACAGTAAAAAGTTTGAAAAAAACAACAGTCATTTTGGTTTGCTATTTATTTCAAATACTACTCTGTACATTCTGACAGATCATTTTAAAAGATTTTCTACTGTGAAAACAATGATGCCATTGGATTATAAATTGATAAAAAATGACAAAGTTATAGCAAAAGGTTCGAAAAAAATTTGATTTGCTATTTATTAATCACCTTTCATGTTCGAACCTTGCGTAAAGGTGCAAAAATTTTCTCTTTTTAACCACCCTTTACCGGTGCTCAGAGCGATAGAGTCAGGGGAGATGGTTTGACAATTTTCTATCCTTTCAACTGAGGTTGCTGGGTGATGATTGGTGTAGTCACTGTTGTTTATATGGTACTAATGAAAATAGTCAAGTGGGGTCAAATCAGGTATCCCAGGAGTCCAACTAAGGTCCTATCCACCTATCCCGGAAGTGACGATTGAAATAACGTCTCACCAGCAAAGAATTCTGTGCGGGGCATCCATCAAGCTGGAGAATCATTCTTTGTCGTTGTTGCAGAGGAACATAATCTAATGGAGTTGTTAAAACCTCATTCCAAAATTTGAGAAACTGAGCACCACTTAAAAAATTTGTTTAGAAACAAGACGCAATTAATTTATTTCCGAGAAGTCCACACCAAACGTTGATACTGTGGACCACTTGAAGATGATGAGAGTACAAAATTCTCGGATTTTCCTCTGCCCGAATTCGCAAATTCTAACTGTTTAGAATGCTTTTAGAGGTGAACTTGGATCCATTGGATAGAATGTATGGAAGAACTAAATTCACTAATTTCTTGGTCCGCTTGACCAATTAATATATTACAGTTAATTAAGGTTTTTAGTTGAGATAAAAAAATGGCAAAAAGGAGAGAAAATACAAAAGGTGCAGTTGAGATGGGAAGTTGGTGTCCGAGTGGATCAAGGTCACGATAGTTCAAGTGGTAGAGCAGCGGCGTATCAAGCCGAAGATCGTGGGTTCGAATCCCGCTCGTGCCATTGACTTTTTTATCTCAACTAATAACTTTAATTAATTTTATGTAAGAACGTTTTCTTCAGCCTCCCAAATAGACATTTGTGGAAGAAACGTCGATGCCTGCCAGAAACAGAGGCCGGAAGTCTCTGCGCAAGATGAGAGCGATACGGCTTAAAATTGTAAGCCCGGAGTACATCTCCAATTTTGCTTTTTGAAAAACCTAAAACCATTCCAACATTTCGGATAAAGGAATTCGGATTTTCTCGAATGTACGGTAAAATATTCAGCTCCTCGTCGAAATTAAGCTGTCAGTTTCTTTGTGCCAAAACATTGTCATTTTTTGTACAATTTAAAATCCGATTGCATCATTTTTTCAAGGTAAAAGTCTTTAAATATGACAGGATATATAGGATCCTAACTGAATTGTTTAAGATGAACTGGGCCCGAGGTATCCTGTATAATTTTTCTTAAAAAAAATGAAAAAATTAAAAATTTACTAAAACTTATGTCCACTACACACGACTCACAAGAATGACACATCTACAAGGAAAACAAGCACTTTGAGCACTGACGATAATCTCAATAAAGGTCGAAACGTTGGCATGATAAAAAAAATGTTTTTCCAAATCTACGTCATACCAGACCACACGATCTCCAAATAATCATTAGAAACGTATTGTTTTATAATTGAAGAGAACTTCAGCCAACTAAAAAGGACACCCTGAATACAGCCAAGGATTCACTTTCAATTAGGGGGACACAACATTGCCTACTTTCTGGACTCATCTGCGGGCTTTGGTCCAAAAATGTCCGTGTGTGCAACTTAATCGGATCAGTAATCCTTCTTGAACAATATTAAGACCCTCCAAAGGCCTACCATTGACCGTACAAGATTCCCTTCCCGGTCCTTAACATATAAACATTTTTTTATATTAAACTAATGCCTGTTACAAAAAATAAAACTGATTTCTATAAAAGGTTTAGAAGGGTTTCAAATATATATTTTTTAACATTACGAATCAAGTGATCTGATGATTATATCCATCGTCACATCCTATGTCATAAATTATCCTTCCTAATTAAAAATCTATCAACTCTCTATTACGGTTTTATGGAGTAAATTGTTCGGTAAAGGAAAATTGTAAGGTCGATCTATAATCGTTTCTCTCCAGTGTGTCTGAACATATTTTTCATATTGAAACTACTATTTTTTCCGTCTTTTTTTTGTCACAAATAAACAATCGTAGCAAGCAATTCGTTTTAAAAACAACCAATAGTGTTTAATATAAACAAGACGTACAATTTTGTCAGAAATTTAGGTTATTACAAAAGATTAACCAATCCCTATAAAAAACTTAAACAATTAATTTGTAATATACAAAGGCAAATTTAAAAAAAACATTAACTCTAATAAATCACCAGAAAAAAAGGGAATTTTTGATCTTCAGTTTATTAACAAAACGATCTTTAAAATTTGCTGAAATCCGTTAGAAATTTTAAACTGAGATGCCTGACCAGAAAGTACAGACTTTCTTAAAACAGAAATGCGCATTGTAATTTAAATCCGTTGAGTGAAGTTAAAAATCGAAACGAAAGATATCAGCCGTTCGCCCGAAAAACCGTTGCTACTCCATTAAAAACATTCCGGTAGTTTCAAGTTTTTTTAAAATTTTCATTTCTGTCTAGGTACGTTTTGTGATGAATCTATTTTTGTTTTTCTGCATTAAATTCATTAAGTAAACAATTTTTAATTGACTGGTTGCTTCTATATTTTTCAGTTTTTGTGTAACTTGTAAACAACAATTTTTCTTTAGTGAACAAATTGAAAATAAAGAGTGTGTTTAATAAAATAAAAATGTCTATAAATTTGTGACAGAGTTTCGAAATAATAAAATTTGTTTTTCTGTTAAACTAACATCCAATAGATTAATTCAGTAGTTGTATTTTATATATGTGAGTTTTTGACGTGTGGTTTCATAATTATTTAACTAGTTAAATAAACAATTTTTGTAATTCTTCAAAATTGGTTTAAATGACCATTTAAAATGTTAAATGCTGTGTATTTTATTTGAAACCGTATATTTTTGTGTTGTTTTAATTTAATCCAAATGCAAATAAACAACTGAAATATTCAAATATTTTCTAAACCAAATAAATTTTATAAATCTTTTCAAAGGTATAGAAGAATGCTTGCTGTACTGGATTTTTGCTCTTGTCTTATCCCAACTAACCTTCCAAAATCCCACTTGATTAGACTATAATTTTTTAGTCTCCAGGTATATTAAAATCAAATAATGATAATAAAAAAAATGAATTTGCTCTTTCATTTAGGAGGGCGGGGCTATCCTGAATAATCAGTGCGCGGGTTAACTAATTCCAAGAGGGACAAGAAAAGGCCTCGGGGTGTTGGGTAACACTTGAAGGAAATTTGAATAATAACAGCTTATCATGCATGGAGCCCCATTTTTTTCGCCCGAGTAATTTAAAATAATCCGGACAAGTGTCTACCTCGATTCAAAAAAATATATAAATGATTTATTTTCTCGTCAAAAATTTTAATTTACGTCTGATTCAATCATGGACGTAACAGAAAAGAGTCTCATTTTGAACGGTTTTAGATGATTCCCAGTCTTGAAATTCGGTGAATAACGTTTAACAAATACAGCCATGCTAATAAAATTATAATAAATAAATAATCTAATTATAATATTTTATAGTTAATAGAAACGTTTTCTTACTTTGTCATAGTATAATGGCCCTTATCCTTTTGGCCGTCTTAGCTACATAATCCAGATGTTTAGCCCACTAATTGAAAACTCCTTCTGAAACATATGAAATTATCGTTACGATACAGTCTTTAACAGAAACTAACAACACACTTGAGAATATATAAATCAAAATAAATATTTAATATCAAAAGGGATAAAAGGGTTTTTTTTAAGTTAAAAATTAAATTTTTTTAAAAATATTTTAATGGCTTTATGTTCTTTGCATATTAGCCAATGACAATGTTATTATGCGAATTCGTTTTGGGGGGGAAGGGTATCGTGAAAAAAGGCCAGATGCAACGGCTGGAATCGAACCCACGACTGTGAGTAAAAAAATATAACATTTATTTGGAAAACTTTTTCCACATGCATTTATTATTTTGATTGAAGTTTAGAAAAAATGAACTTTAACACTTTATTCACTAATGGTTTATGCTAGATAAAGACTTGCCGCGAAAGTAGGACCTTACATGGATGGCGGCAGTGCCAGTGGTACTTTGCCAAATTTACGGAGGGGCGTTTATTCTTTAAAAAGCCAACTTAAACCATCAAAAATAATTCTAGACGTTACATCTGAGAGAGCAGAGTATGCTATGTCGGATATAAATATCTTGAAATAACAGTAGTTTTAGGTTGTGCAATGCACATTGTAGTATTTGAGGATAATCTTCACCGATTAAAAATTTTACCTTCCATTATAATTTTTGTAATTTTGTAACGTCTTGAGTTTGCAGTAAATGCTATTTTTAACCCTCTTTATTAATTTCCTATTTATACTTTAATATTTAAAACTTAACTCTTGACAAAAGGATTGATTGCTTGTAAGGCAAGAGTTGGGCCGAGTTTTGTGCGCGCTATGTTGAAAAGTTGCTGAGAAACAACGAGACAACTTTTCGACCACGAGCAAATACAAACACAAGCCCACATTTGCAACTGTACGCCAACAAATTCACTATTATCGAGCGATTTCGTAGGTTTTACCACCTCGAAAGGTTTCCTGTTTGTGATCTTTGAAACGAGTGTAATATCGATCCATTGGAGTAATTAATTTTCCAACTTTAACCTTACAGGGGCTCCTTCAAAACCTTCAAACTTGCTACTTCAACAGTTTAAAACACAAAAGTTAATTTTCTGTTAATTGCTACAGTTTGATCGCGATCATTCCAAAGGCGAAATGAACCTTTCTGTGACTAAATATAAATAAAATAGTTGTTAATTAACCAATCTGTTAAAAATGTTCATAATGTTATTAAACAAATTTCAATTATCATATCTCAATAACACTACGCTCATGAATATTTTTAGAACTTTTTTTTGTTAAAGGACAAAAAGTTTTGAACAAAAAAGGTCGGTAGTTATTTTAGGCTGTGCGGGGTGTTTTTTTTAATACGATCTACGCTCTCACAGAAGAGAATAAAAAAAAGAGAGAAAGAGAAAGAGAGAAATGATTTTTTAAAATGGTGATTTTATTGTATTTAGTTTTGTTCACAAATGCAAGGCGCCTAGACTATGCTAAACCAGCAATACCGTTCGGTCGTGCCGAACTGTATATCCGAATTTTTTCACGTTTGTTTATGATTAGAACATTATTATTTTTATATTTAAAAAATAATAAAATAGATCTTTAATAATATATATTTGTATGTGATATATAATTCTCATACATCATAAAATTAACAAGATTACCCTTTGCGTGTTATTTGTTCATTTTTGGTATGAGACCAGCGAACGACCCTCAAAACAATAAAATTTAAATAAGAACTTCACACAGAAATAATACAAACAAATATATAAAACTTGATTCGATCAATTATTTATAGAACATTAACTCAACGCAAACAATAAAGAATTGCAAAAAATGTAAATTACTTTTTAAAGATTTAGGAAGTCATAAGTGGCGACATTTCCTGTTATATTGTATAAAATAGTTTCAGTTGCTTTTTCCAATGACCGATATTTTGTTTTACAGAAATTTTTTTGTTGTTGTTGGATGAAAAAGTGTTTGATTAGTATTACCAATATGGATAACTATAGGAACTGATTTTTTAGTATTAATCATATATTTACTTTTGGTGGTATATGGAACAACAAACAACTGAGGTCATCATAGGCCCTCTAGGTGTTGTCCTTCTTTTTCTGGCCTTTCAAGCATATTTAATTTTAAACTGCAACCTTTGAGCGACTCGATCTGGTTACTGACTCTCTGCTTTTAATTGTGTACCACGTAGCTATCTTAAATTTGTAGCCTGTCTTTTGTACCCCTAGTCATTTACAATTTACATAAAACATAAAATACCACCTTACACAAACATAGAAGATTGTCACATTGACTCTCCCAGAATATTCAAAATACTTCGAGGAAAGTATTAACTAAATCAATAGAGTGAAATACCTAAACTAATTTTTAATTAATCTTAATAAAAAAAGTGTAATTTTACTTATAATTTTTTGTACAGTAATGTAATTTGGCGGCCCAAGATTATTCGTTTGGTTGTTAATATTTAGTCTTGAGAGGTAAATTACATTTTGGTTTTTTATAAATTAATACATTTTCCTACATAATCAATGTTTTAATTTTTTATTTGTATGTCTTTCTGACATTCTGCCACTTTCTGTCGTTCTATCTAACTGTCTTTTTATTTATCTGCAATATTTATCTATATATCGTAATGTTTTTTCCTTCATAATGTCTGGTGTTTTAAAAATCTTATTTCTTCGAATATTTCTGTTTCTGTGTTTTTCTGACTGTCTTTTTGCTTTCATATTTCTCTCTCTCTCTATCTATCTATCTTTCTCTTTTTGTTATGGCACTAACAAAAGTATACATTTGATATGTCAATAACAATTTTAGAATTAAACAAAATTTTATGTAATAGAATAAAAATATTATTTTTCTTTGAATCAAATCAATGAGAAATATAATTTATTACACCATCAACATAGTTATTTTTCATCATCAACGTGATCAAGTAAACGCTGGTGTTTTAAAGATCTTATTTCTTTGAATATTTCTGTTTCTGTGTTGTCTTTCTACTTTCTCTCTCTCTCTCTCTCTCTCTCTCTCTCTCTCTCTCTCTCTCTCTCTCTCTTTCTCTTTTTGTTATGGCACTAATAAAAATATAAACATGATATGTCAATAGCAATTCTAGAATTACACAAAATTTAATGTAATAGAACAATAACATTATTTTTCTTGGAAGCAAATCAAAGAGAAATATAATAACAATCATTATTATTACACCATCAACATAATTATTTTCAATCATCATGTTTAAAGGCCTTATTTCTTCAAATATTTCTGTTTCTGTGTTTGTTTGACTGTCTTTTTGCTTTTTTCTCTCTCTCTTTCTCTTTTCGTTATGGTACTAATAAAAGTATAAATGAGATTTGTCAATGACAATTCTAGAATTAAACAAAATTTTAATGTAATTAATAATATTGCCCGCGCAGGTGCCCATTATGCAGAGAAAGGTTGCTCGATGTCCCACATACTGGAAACATGTCATGCCTTGGCTCCATACGGGGAGCGTGTAGGCATGCCATCCAATCTGAAAATGGTATTTGAGCACTGCAGTGGGTTTCTGGGTCCCCTGTTCTGCTTTTTAGGGGCAATTTTTTTTTAATTGTATATATGTCTTATGTGTTGTGTGTCTATATGTTTTGTCTGAGTGCATGTATTTATTAGCGTGAATGGCGAGGGGTGAGGGTGAAATATAACGTCATCATCGCCCCTCGAACGTTGAGAGCGTATGAGTGTGTGAAAGGGGTCGATGGTGGAATATTTATAAAAGTACTCCATCGACCCCAATCTAGATTAGTTTGAGTATAGGTCGGTGGAGGAATATCAAGTACTCCACCGAACAAACGTTATGAGTGTATGTATTTATTAGCGTGAATGGCGAGGGGTGAGGGTAAAATATAACGTCATCATCACCCCTCGAACGTTGAGAGCGTATGAGTGTGTGTTCGGGGTCGATGGCGGAATATTTACAACAGTACTCCACCGACCAAACGGAACGAGTGGTCTGTACTGTATGGATGTATTTATGTGTATGAATGTATTTATTTGTATGAATGTAGTGTTTGAAAGGGTAAATAAAATATAGACTTAGTTGGGGGATGAAATGACCTAGATGTCCGAAGCCTTAGTCAAAAAAAAAAATCCTTTGAAGCAAATCAAAGAGAAATATAATAATAGTCATTATTTTTACACGATCAAAATAATTGTAATTTTTATCAACGTGATCTAGTAAATGATGGTGTGAAATTCAGTGAAATAGTCTTTATTGTTTCGTTTTGTTTTTAACTTGAAATAATATAAACTAGTACCATTGGAGAAATTTTAGATTGGAAAAATAACGCCATACATCAGTCGTATAAACTAGTGTTTTCATGAGATCAAATTTTTTTCTGGCACAAAACGGTTAGGTTGAAATTATATTACTCATTGATTTTTATACGTACACGTAGTTATCAAAACTATGAGGACAACTTAAACATCCTCATATGGTACGAAAAGCTTTAATATATTAACGTATTTAAAATTTCAATAAGTTATTTATAAGAGGAAAATCTTATATCTAGTCAAACCTGCACCTGCTTGCACCAAAACCTACTTTTTATGAAAAATTTTGCGTTATGAAATTTTACCTAATGAGGCACGACTTGGGAAAGAAAGAAAATGTATTGTTTTTTGTAAACATACTAAGTTATATGTGAAAATAAGGACTAAAATAAAATAATTCCAGGAAAAGTTGAGCAACTTTTTTTAATTTAAAATTTATATCGCTTTGTTTGAAACTTTTTTTTAAAAATTGATTAATAATGTATTTCAAGTTTCGTCATTAGAATAAATCACAGTTGGAACTGTAATAAATATTTTATGCTTGGGGTTTGATGGAAAACCAGCAATATTTTGTCTCATTCTTTGTCAAAACTTGTTTCTTTTTTAGGTGGTCCTGACTTCATCAGATATCAGGGTGAATAAATATATTAAAATCCACGAAAAAATTAAACGTGTAAAATTTTCCAGATATCTTACAATCGTCATCTCT